GCAAACCTGAGAATAGCGTTCTGGTACCTCAGTAAGGAATCGTTCAAGACTCTGTACACCTTGTACGTCAGGCTCATACTGGAGTATGCAGCACCAGTTTGGAACAAACACCTGGTCAAGCACGTCAAAAAATTAGAGAAAGTGAAAAGGTTTGCAACAAGACTAGTTCCAGAGCTAAGGTGAATGTCCTGTGATGAGTCGTCACACACCTTCAGGAGCCAGTGACAGGGTCACCATCTGGCAAACACTTTGTTGCTTTGTCAATCATTGTGTTATAGGGATCTTCTCTGACGTAATCAGCGCAAGTCTTTACAAACCATACCCCCGGCCGGGATTGAACCCGCGGTCATAGAGTCTCAAAACTCCAGCCCGTCGCGCTAGCCACTAGACCAGCCAGCCACAATAAGATTCATCCAACTAGGCAAGTCTTTACTGACTATCCCTCACTAAATGGTCTGCTTCTCTCAGCGATATATTAACTAAGTGACGGACAGCTTGCACTTCAGGAACACTTTCACCATTATACCTTTTAAAGACTAAGATTTTAAGTCAGACCATTTGAGTGAACTGATCTTATACTGATGTTTACCTCAGTGAGTCTTACCATTGTACTCCTTAAAAATAGACAACTTTCATTGTAAAGCTGAAAATGAGTTGGTCTTTCCACTTAATTTAAAAGTAATCTAGATCACTTCACAATGATTGAAACAATATTCTTATTTTTTCTTCTGAAAAAGAGGGTGTTCTGATATTTTTAAAAATAAATGTTTGAAAAGGATTACAAGAAATTTCATTACCTCTATAATTGTGCCACCTCCTATTCTGTGCCTTAGTATATTGTGCCTCTGTGTGTAAACGTATGGGTACCTGCTGCTCACTGTGTATCGCTGCCTAATATTGCCCTCCCACTTCATTCACTTTACCTCCCTCTCGTTTCAGCTTTTTCTTCTATTGATTTAGTAATTATGCATTCAATTTTTTTTATTCTATGCAGGTTTACAGGGCGGGCATTTAACCTTTCAGAGATATGCTGGACATGGGATGGTGACACAAACTCAGTTATATTTGTATGGTCTTGCACTTTGCTCAACATTTAAGGTATAAAATCAGTGTTGTGAGTCAAACGAGTCATTTCTCATGACCGTCGACTGTGTTGATTCCTAGTTTATAAGAATGTGTTCAATTAATAAAAGTTTTAATTAAGACACTATTTTTTTTTCTTTATAAAGTGTGCAAGAATGTGTTAAGTGAGGCTTCCCCCCTGGGTTACGCAAGAATGTGTTAAGTGAGGCTTCCCTGGGTTTACCGCAAAAAGAATGGGTTAAGTGATGCTTCCCTGGGTTACCGCATAAGAATGTGTTAAGTGATGCTTCCCTGGGTCCTCCGCAAGAATGTGTTAAGTGAGGCTTTCCTGGGTTACGCAGAATTGTTGGTTTAAGTGAGGCTTTCCCTGGGGTTACCGCAAGAATGTGTAGTGAGGCTTCCTGGGTTACCGCAAGAATGGTTAAGTGAGGCTTCCCTAGGTTACCGCAAGAATGTGTTTAAGTGAGGCTTCCCTGGGTTACCGCAAGAATGTGCCTAGTGAGGCTCCCTGGGTTACCGCAAGAATGTGTTAAGTGAGGTTTCCCTGGGTTACCGCAAGAAATGTGTTTAAGTGAGGCTTCCCTGGGTTACCGCAAAAGCATGTGTTAAGTGGGGACCTTCCCTGGGTTACCGCAAGAATGTGTGAAGTGAGGCTCTTCCCTGGGTTACCGCAAGTATGTGTTAGTGAGGCTTCCCTGGGTTCCCGCAAGAATGTGTTAAGTGAGGCTTCCCTGGGTTACGCAAGAAATGTGTTAAGTGAGGCTTCCCTGCGGTTACCCGCCAAAGGAATGTGTTATGTGAGGCTTACTGGGTTACCGCAGAATGTGTCTAAGTGAGGCTTCCTGGGTTACCGCAAGAATGTGTTAAGTGAGGCTTCCCTGGTTACCGCCAGGAATGATGAAGTAAAGGAGTGATTGGTGGAATGATGAAGTAAAGGTTGTGATAAAAGAGAAGAAGGTAGCTTATGAGAGGTTTTTACAAAGCAGAAGTGTTATAAGAAGAGTAGAGTATATGGAGAGTAAAAGAAAGGTGAAGAGAGTGGTGAGAGAGTGCAAAAGGAGAGCAGATGAGAGTGGGAGAGGCACTGTCAAGAAATTTTAATGAAAATAAGAAATTTTTTGGAGTAAAACAAGTTAAGTAAGGCTGATGCATGCAGGGGATGAGATGAAAAGCTGTAAGCCTTCTCCCTGAAAGCTGGCTGCCTTGGATCAAACGTGTAGCGGATGCTACACGCCAAGGTATTGGTCCAGTGTGGGTAGATTGGTAAAGCACTGCGTACCTTGTCCTAAGGTTCGTAGGTTCGAGTCTCCTTCAGCCAGAGATCAGTGTTTGTGTATATTTCGCAAGCTCTCGCGAATTCCTTGCATTGTTCAAATCTCTAGTAAGGCTGATGCATGCAGGGGATGAGATGAAAAGCTGTAAGCCTTCTCCCTGAAAGCTGGCTGCCTTGGATCAAACGTGTAGCGCATGCTACACGCCAAGGTATTGGTCCAGTGTGGGTAGATTGGTAAAGCACTGCGTACCTTGTCCTAAGGTTCGTAGGTTCGAGTCTCCTTCAGCCAGAGATCAGTGTTTGTGTATATTTCGCATGCTCTCGCGAATTCCTTGCTATATATATATATATATATTTATATATATATTATATATATATATATATATATATATAATATATATATATATATATATATATATATATATATATATTATACTGATCTCTGGCTGAAGGAGACTCGAACCTACGAACCTTGGAACAAGGTACGCAGTGCTTTACCAACCTAGCTACACTGGTCCAATACCTTGGCGCCTAGCTCACGCTAGACGTTGATCCAAGGCATACAGCTTTCCAGCTTTCAAACATTGTTAAAACTTCTTGTATATCTACTACCAATAATTCAGTCATGTACCTATATATGTGTTATATCTATGTGACTCTGATGGGTTAGTATTATACCCCTTCAAGAATATTCTAATATTCCACATACACTTTTTAAATTGATAAATTAGACACATGTGCAACTCTTGGGTATCTTTATTGAGGAAACATTTCTCCACACAGTGGCTTCATCAGTCCATACGTATGGACTGATGAAGCCACTCTGTGGCGAAACGTTTCCGCAATAAAGATACCCAAGAGTTGCACATGTGTCTAATTTATCAACATGTCGGTTCTCGGAACCATTCATCTACAAACCTGTCAGGCACTGCAACTTCTTGGGATCTTTATACTTAGGATTTCTTCGCTTGCCTAATTCTTGGGCACGACCTACTTCCACATTGAACAAATGTGACACCACCTATGACTGCTGCACCTCTCCTGCTATACGGTTTATAAGCTGCTTCTCCGCTCATATGCCGTATTCTATTCAAGATTGATGGACTGAACACATCGACTCAAGGTTGAGGGACTGATTACCTCATTCTCCTCCTGTTCTTCAAGTTTCTCCTACGTATGGACTGATGAAGCCACTGTGTGGCGAAACGTTTCCTCAATAAAGATACCCAAGAGTTGCACATGTGTCTAATTTATCAACATGTCGGTTCTCTGAACCATTCATCTACAAACTTTTTAAATTGCACCAAAGTGGTTGTGTCACTTACCTTTTATATCCTACCTCACTCCCCCTCCCACCCTTTCAAATTCTACCTCACTCCCCCCTCCCACCCTTTTATATCCTACCTCACTCCCCCCTCCCACCCTTTTATATCCTACCTCACTCCCACTCCCACCCTTTAATATCCTACCTCACTCCCCCCTCCCAACCGATTCCAATATTTCTATCCTTACCCATCCTTCTTCCTTACCCATCTTACCAAAGCTCTGGTCATAAGAAACCGGAAAAGAAGAAGCCAGGGGAGACAGTAATGTCAGTGTGGGAGACGCAAGATACCTGCCAGGAGAGACAGTAATGCAAG